GTGTGAAATTTTATGATGTAAAAAAAAAATCAGTAAAATCAACACAATGTCTTAAGATTTAACACCAGTAGGATGAATATACTGACTGGTGCACCAAGCTTGCATCAGGAGAGCATTTGACTAGTTACAATATCATCATCCCCACATATATTTAGTGATAATGAAGTTCACAGAAGTAGTGATAGATGGCTGAATGCAATATTGGTCTGAGAGTAGATGTCTATGTGTAAAAAGAGTTTATGCTAGCATGAAGTCCCAATTAACTAAGGAACTATTTTCAGCTGATAGCTTTGCCTAAACCTGCCCACAGGGACAGTATAGTTGTTTGAGTTTCAGATATGAAAATTATACTAAGAATAAAACTGCAGGTCAATTGAGACACTTCAATCTATGTTATACTCTATATCTATACATTAGAATACTGTATATGTTATAGTATGAGGCTTAGCAGACAGCAATAATAGTAAATGAACATTAAATTCACTGTGTCACTTTAGCAGTTTACCGGGGTAATACAGATGCCATGAAAGAGTTTATCTTTTGTTTTCTGTGCCTTGGCTTCTCTCAGGTAGATCTGCTAGGCCTACTGGCATGTAGTTGCAAAAGCTGTGTTCGTATGCGAAAGAGAAAGTATTTGTGGTCAACGTTAGTCAAGAAAATATTTTAAAAACTCATTGTCTTTTTTTTTAAATTGTAGCTTCATTACTGGAAGAAGTAGTCATAAGCTATCATGTCAATACACCACAAGAACAATTTAACATCATTGAGGCTACCAATAAGAAGAAGCCATTCAGCCCAATGTGCTGATCGTGGCTCTATCTCCCTTGCAGTACTGATAAGCCACCGAAACCAACCCCAGAGAGGCCAGCTGAACACTGGGGTGGGGTAAAAAACTGAGGCACCCCGCACAAAGCCACCCCAAAACGGGAGAACATATGAACTCCACACAGGCCGACACCTGACGTTGGAACCCAATTTGGGAATCTGGAAGTTGAAAGGCAGCAGTGGTTTGTTACCATGCGCTGCTCTCCACGTCACCCGCAACACAGGGATGCTGGGACAGTGAATTATATGCCCACTGGTTTTGAAAGCTGATTTCTGGAAAATGGCCGGAGCTCCTGTAAAGCCTAAAGATCCACTGTATAAACTGTAGCGCCAGTGCGACATCTCCTCATTACCAATTAAAGAAGCGGGAGGAAAGGCAGAACCGGAGGGGAGGCACAACGGAATGAATCAGTGAGACAAGCTGTTTACCTTGCCTCGTCTCATGACAAAGTGGCAGGGAAGGAAATCATTATCTTCCCTGCCAGCCAGAGAAACAAGGGGATGACGCCGTGAAACG